TTGAAAACATATCTTTGATCTAGATGCCTCAAAATAATTGAGATACTTGGTAAAAGTAAAAAATCGGCAACATGTTGAGGTACTTGCTATATATTTGAAGGCAAGACTATACTCGCGTATCAATCGAAAAAAATATTTTCACGGATATTCATAAATAAATATAAAAAAATCACAAAAGTCTAAACAAATTACCAAAAAAAATTAAACAAAATAGAAAAAAGTAAAAAAATTAAATTAGAAGCATCTTTACTTTAAAATCATTTTATTATTTTTTGTTTGAAAAGAATTATGAATAAACTTGGCAGCAGTATTTTTTCCAAAACCAATCGTTACCTGGGACTGACATCAGCCCTTGATATTTTGCCTTGATACGAGTTAAGATACCCATTGAAGTCATGTTCAACAAGAAAAAATCATAATCCATACAGAGTTCAAAGTTTTAAGCATGGCAACGCTGTATCACCACCGGTCAAAGAATTCTTCTTCAAATACAAACATTCATCTACAGATGACATAAATGGTTGATTTCCTGCCTCAAATCGTGATTAAATTCTACAAAAGTAGCTTCTTAAACACAGAACTCAAAAATATAGACATTTTTAAAGCTCAATTATATAAACTTTGCAACCCTGTATCATTAAAACTATACTTGCATTTTGAGTTAAATTTTAACAAAAGCTTTAATCTATCATAAAATTGCATCTAAACCCCAAAAGCATATCTTTTAGCCGTCACTAAGTTCGTTTTTAAGTTAAGAAACTTGATAAAATGAACATTTTTTATAGGTTTTTATTTCAACTTTTCAACGTTGTTTTAACAGAATTAGTAGTATCAATGTTTCAATTGAAATATGCATTCGATAATAATACTAACATTTGATAAAATGTCACAAAATATCATAAAACATCCAATTGAATCGTTCTGAGAAAATAAGATACCTGAGAATATGAGAATTTTAAAGCTCAAATATGCCAACTTTGCAACGCTGTATCTCGGAAACTAGATGTATACTCAAGCTAAAATTTTTATTGGAGGCTTACTTCATCATAAGGTTTCATTTAAGCCACAAACGAACGAAATCCCCGGGTTCCCGAAAAGGGGCCAAAAAAGGCCCTTTTTTAGGGAGGCTCTTTGATCACCTCAAATTTCGTTTTTTTTTATCGGGTCATGATGCTAAAAGTCACGATTCCCGACCTAATTGGGAATTAATCGCATCACAATTGAAAAGCACAGAAAATTTCACGTGAAATTGACCCCTAAAAATCCATAATCGGCCCACCCAAGGCCCAAAAATGACCCCCTAAAGAGGGGGGCCAGTAGCCCAGTACCCCCCACCATAATTTTTCTTTGATCTCAAAATTGACGAAGATTCTCCAGAAAATGATGGTTTCCCAGGTAATCGACCCCGAGAAATCCAAATTTCATAGTCCCGAAGCTTCTCTCTCCTCCCTTGGGGGGTAAACGGGGGCCCAATTTTAAAAATGGGGCTTTTTTCCGAATCGTAAATTGATTGCTTCCAAATCTAAGAGCAGAATACATCTACATCTTAAGTGACCCCCAAGAGTTCTAATTGACTCCCCTGAACGGCAGAAAGTAACCCCCTGAGGAGGGGGGCTTTGCCCCCTCCGGAAATTTCTCGAGATTCCTCTTTGATCGCAAAATTGACGTCGATTCTCCAGAAAAAGACGGGTTTCCAGGTACCTAATCGACCCCGAGGACTCTGAATTTCATGGTCCTTAAGCTCCGTTACCCGCCCTTTAGGGAAGAAACCTTCTTTTTCAGGATCAGGAGAATTGACGTCAATTTTGTGACCAAAGAGGAATCTTGAGAAATCTTTGGAGGGGGCAAAGCCCCCCTTCTCAGGGGGTTACTTTCTGCCGCTCAGGAGGGTCAATTAGAACTCTTGGGGGTCACTTAAGATGTAGATGTGTTCTGCTCCTAGATTTGGATGCAATCAATTTGCGATTCGGAAAGGAGCCCCCATTTTTAAAATTGGGCCCCCCGTTTACCCCCCAAGGGAGATAGAGGAGCTTCGGGACCATGACATTTGGATTTCTCGGGGTCGATCACCTGGGAAACCGTCTTTTTCTGGAGAATCTACGTCAATTTTGAGACCAAAGAGAAATTATGGAGGGGAGTAGGTACTGTCCCCCGCTTTAGGGGATCATTTTTGGGCCTTGGATGCGCCGATTATGGATTTTTAGGGGTCTATTTCACGTGAAATTTTCCGTGCTTTTCAATTCTGATGCGATTAATCCGCAATTCGGTCGGGAACCGTGACTTTTAGCATCGTGACCCCCCTTTTACCCCCCTTTTATCCCCCTTTTACCCCCTTTTACCCCCCTTTACCTCCCAAGGGGGGGGGGGGTTGGGACCACGAAATTCGGATTCCTTGGGAGCGATTCCCCATTCAACCTCGCGGCCCTCGACTTCGTACGATCTAAAACAACCGAGAAACGGGCCTGGTACGGGTGGTCTGAAACACCCTGTATAGAAAACAAGGAAAGACAAAACAGTGGGAACCAAGGCTAAAATTACAAAAATAACCGCAGGACGTTTTGGCTGGGGACCCAAGCCATTATTGACTGATTAAAAAAATACAAAATTAAAAAAAAATGGCGTACTGAGATAATGTTGAGGAAAAGTTGCGGGAAATTAGCTCATTTCGGGGGAAAATTGAATCACCTTTGAACTGGCGTATTTGGGGTCCCCCCTTAAAATTATTTCAGATCTCGTTTTTTTTCTTTACGGTAATTTGAACAGGATTTATGATGGTTTAAAAATAGGTCACATTTGACCCTTGACCCATCATTACTGGGTCAAAAATTAAGTTATTGATCTGAGGTTTGTGCCAAAATTCTCAGTTTTTAATGTTCTTTTCAATAACACTGGTCAACATGGGTTCTGTCCTTCGAACCGAACCAATTTTTTTCGATTCCTAGGTTCTAAAGAAGCCCGAAAACTGCCCATATTAACTTCAGGAAAATTGGCTGGTCCTCAGGGCGCAGCCATTTTGAATTTTTCAAAATTGAGAAAACCCACGATAAGATTTTTGCAAATATCTCCTTAACGGTTCATCTCACGAAAAAAAAACAAAAAAAACAAAAAAAACAAAAAAAAACCCAGCGGAAGGAGCATAAAGTTTCCTACGGAAATCATCTTCCTTTGTTTTTTCTAACTTAATTTTTTGGTCGTGTCGTTAACGTTTTCTTCAAAAATTAGCTTCAAAAAGGCGCATGTTTGTTGATTTTAGGAGAAACTTTGCTTCATACCTCCAGCCACGATTATCTGAGAAAAAAAACTGTTATGCTCAATGAAAAGAGCGTAAAATTTACTCTGAGAAAACATGTGTCAATAGTTTCTAAACTTGATTTAATCCTGTGAAACAGCAGTTTATTAGCTCCGCCCTTAAAATGTGATTTTTTCGACCATTTTCCTTAGAATCACGAAAAAAAAGAGAAAAAAACCCCTTAAAACATGACCCGAACTGTGTAGAAAGTTGGCAAAATAGTGCTGGGTCCACACTATTTTGAAAACAAAACCAAAAAGTTGGAAGATTTTCAATCAGAGTCAAAAATTTTGAGCTCTAATGGATAACCAGTAGGGCAGCACATAACTGAAGGGGAAGAGCGTTTAGCTCAGGCAATTAGCATTAGAATACTAAGTAGAGGTCACGGCGAGAGATCTAATTTTTGGGTCTTGTTATAGACCTCGTCAGTAGAGCACACTCGTCAGTGAGATTAAAAGCCAAAAAGTTCAAAAATTTTCAATGAGAGTCAAAAATTTTGAGGTCCAATGAGTACCATTACGAAACTTGCCGTCTTGCAGTATAAAACTTCTACTTGGAACTTGAGCTTTGATGCCGTCTTGGATTTTGTGAGATTTTCAGTTGGGTTCACTTGACGAATTTGATCTATCAATGAGGTATAAAAAGTCCGAAAATTATAGATCTCTCGACGTGACCTCACCTTAATATTCCAATGCAAACTGCCTGAGCTGAACACTCTCCCCCCCACCCCCTCTGTTTTGTACTGATACTCATTGGAGCTCACAATTTTTTACTCTGATTGAAAATCTTCCAACTTTTTGGTTTTGTTTTCAAAATAGTGTCGCCCCAGCACTGTTTTGCCTCCTTTTTACACAGTTCGGGTCACGTTTTAAGGGTTTTTTCTCTCTTTTTTTCGTGATTATAAGGAAAATGGTCGAAACATCATATTTTAAGGGCGGAGCTAATAAACTGCTGTATCACAGGATTCAATCAAGTTTAGGAACTATTGACATATGTTTACTCAGAGTAAATTTTACGCTCTTTTCAATGAGCATAACAGTTTTTTTCTCAGATAATCGTGGCTGGAGGTATGTAGCAAAGTTTCTCCTAAAATCAGCAAACATGCGCCTTTTTGAAGCTAATTTTTGAAGAAAACGTTAACGACACGACCAAAAAATTAAGTTAGAAAAAACAAAGGAAGATGATTTCCGTAGGAAACTTTATGCTCCTTCTGCTGGGTTTTTTATTGTTTTTTTTTGTTTTTTTTTCGTGAGATGAACCGTTAAGGAGATATTTGCAAAAATATTATCGTGGGTTTTCTCAATTTTGAAAGATTCAAAATGGCTGCGCCCTGAGGACCAGCCAATTTTCCTGAAGTTAATATGGGCATTTTCGGGCTTCTTTAGCACCTAGGAATCGAAAAAAATTGGTTTGGTTTGAAGGACGAACCAAAACCCGAAATTTGTTGTGATGTGTAATGTATCTTAAGATAGGGGTTACCATTTGAAAAAAATTTGGGGGCCCCCCGCCCCCCCTGAGGGAGGGGCAAAAATGTTGACACCCCCTCCCCCCTCCCCCTAGAAGATGGTCCTCTTTGAGATAGAAACATTCCCAAAGTTTCGTTTTTCTATCTCAAACTGTTGAAAAGTTAGAGGGGGGGGGGGACTATTGGAACATTCTGCATGATGATATTAATGTCTAAGGACAATGTCTTGGATTTAATTTGTTTCAGGTATCTCTGGTCCTCTCTTTTAATTCTGCTTGGAATTTACTTAAACATTTGCAGCAAGAATCCAGCTCTCATGAAATCTCTCATAGACCTTCGAAATAGTGTTCCTTTATGGAGAGAGTTGCCTCTTACTACTAGAAAAAGGAAAATCACACTGTTGTCAAATGTGTAAAGGGTTTTACTGCGCATGTTTGAATCTGCTCAATAACTTAGCCACCACTAAATGAATTGGCGTGAGTATAAAGCACATATATATTTGTTGACAATCTAATGGAGGTGACTCACAGACTATATACACGATTCATCAACGACCGTAGCTCACCACTGGGCCTGCAGAAGTGCGCTAAACCAGTGTGCATTCTAAATTGGTCGTTTGGGATGTTCTTCTTTAAGATTTGTTAAGGGGGTAGTCTACCCCCCCCCCAAAAAAAAAAAAAAAAAAAAAAAAAAAAAAACTGATTAGTTTTTAATCATTTGGCTTGAAACTTTGGCATACTGTGGGTAGTTGATATATAACATAATTAGCATATTATTAATTAGAGATATAATATAATAATAATGTTGATTCTTAACCGCCCTACAAAAAAATTATGTACATAATTGAAAAAATGTTTTTACCCGGGCATAAGCGAGAAGAGGGCAGTGGAAATAATGCCAGAATACTGCAATGCTGAAGATTAACTTTAGGGATGATACTCATAATAAATACAGTTGAAAAAGAGAATAATCTAGAGCATTGGGCACAGACAAGGAAGCCAAACGTTTGTATGCAAACAATTTCCCTTCCTCACTTTGTACAGAAAACACACTTCTTAGATGTTACGAAAAAATAGATCATCGGGCAGAAGGCGCAAAAAAAAGAAGAGAAGTTTGATGAATATTAACTGCCATCATACCTCAAAAATACTGTTTTTTTCTTTTTTACTCGTAAATACTTTTTTTATTTTTCCCTTTTTATATTCTTTTCGCAGCATGGTTGAGAAAAAATAATTGTGAGAAATGAGAACTAATTTCTGATGTAAAAGGAAAGCGTGTGATCCAGGAATCAATCTTTGGACAATAAAGGCAGGAGGCAAGCACCCTTTCTATGCGCCACAGTGAGAGTCCAGAGAGGAACGCACCAAAGCGCATCATGAGCGACTCGTACAGTGGCCTCTGCTCAAGCGCCTAACTGAGGCGTGAAAAGTTGGAATTTTAAGTTAAAATGAATATCTTGACAACGGTTGGCCATTGGCAGCTAAAAAAATGTACATGTCTCTTATTTATCCCTTCTCTATCCCCATGCAAAATTTGAACGCGACTGGAGGAGGACAATCCGTAGCATCCCCTTGTAAGAAGTAAAAAAAATTGTGCGACTTTCTTGTCATAACAAAATTCCTTTCTGAGGGATAATCCTCTGCATTGTTACCACTGTTATTTGTTGTCAAATCCCATATCCTTCTCTAACATGAAGGGAATGGGAGCGATAAAAGTTTTGGGTGTAAGCGATTCTTGGGTTTTGTTGTGCCGGCCAGAGCAATTGTCGCATCGATGCAGGTGGCCGTAAAACTTTTCTTTTGGCAAGAGTAGCTCAATTTTTGCCCAAAAAAGATCCGGATTGAGTTTTCAATTCATTTGTGCCATGTTTTTTTGAATGATCCTTGAAGAGAATCTCGCCTGGTTGGAGGTAAATTTGTGAGACTGGATATCCTGGAAAACTGGGTTAGTTCCCTGTGGCTATGAAATAATTTTTTTTTCTTTCTACTAATTTTTTTAATGGCTAATTGAATCTGTTTGAATTAATCATCGCTCTTCATACCTAGCAGAAATAATGGGAATTTTCAATGCAGATATTCTAGTGACAGCACTACATCATTAGTATATGCTGTTTAATGCAATAAATTTTCATTATAAAGTCAAAATTGATAATATCTAGAGATTATGGAGCCAGTTTCCATGATTTTTCAGTTGTCAGTAAGAAACCATTTCCACATAAGGGGCCACGTTTAAATTTCCGTGTCATGGCTCAGGTTTTATATTGCTGGGTATTGGGGGGCTTTATAGACATCGAACTTTTAACCTAGGCATGTTCAATAATTTTTTTATTTCGGAACAGCTAATTCTTTCTCGACTTTTTGTTTCTTTAGGTGTATGTCAAGGCTGCTCTTCTGAGTGGAGGATTTAAAATCCCAACACAATGGATCAGGAATATTGTGAGTGAAATTGATCCTGAAGGCCTGATCGAAAGAGTTCTAAAACCCAAGATACCAAGGGGAGTGTATTGGGTATCGAGAGCTATTTATTTGTTGTAAGTAGTTATTCTCCGATACTGAGTTTTCCATTTTCATTCCTTTTATACGAGGGTCATCCAAAAAGTAAGGTTCCCTACCTTGTATCTTCCGAACGAAAAGAGATAAATCCAATCGGTAAAAAGACATGTATTAGACATATTCTAAGCTATAAAACAAGCCCAAGTCTTAAAAAATCGGTTGAGGAGTTCGTGAGAAAACTCAATTTTACGAAGGCAACCTCCTGTCACCGCGTGCCCACCTTCGGGGTCAGGATGCGCGGAGAGTCGATCATTTTAGACTCGGGTATTCGACTCTAAACATCACATCAAAAAGGCATTTAAAAGTTTTCATTGAGTAAGTCTTACCTTACTTTTTGACGTAGTCATCACATCTTGTTTTGACATTTCTGGTATCATTACAGCAGCTTCTTGATGCCGTCCGCGTTAAAGCTCTCGCCTTGGCTCCGAAACCAGTCATTGACAGCGATCTGTACCTATGAATTGGTTGGCAGTCGCTTTTCATCGTGGAAGTTTTTCCGCTCGGAAACAGATGTAAGTCACATAAGGCTAAATTAAGAGCGTATGGGGGAATAGGGGGAAAATTTCCCGAGCAAAGCAACTGATTTGGAAGTGCAGATCGCTGTCAATGACTGGTTTCGGAGCCAAGGTGAGAGCTTTTACGTGGACGGCATCGAGAAGCTGCTTTAATGATACCAGAAATGTCAAAACAAGATGTGATGACTATGTCAAAAAGTAAGACTTATTCAATGAAAACTTTTAAATTCCTCTTTGATGTGATGTTTAGAGGCGAATACCCGAGTCTGAAATAATGGACTCTCCGTGCATTCTGGCCCCGAAGGTGAGCATGCGGCGCACGGTGTGGCGAGAGGCCAGGTTGCCCGGACATGCGCTCGACCACTTGCATTTTGCTGTCAACTTTGGCTTTAGAACGCATTATTTTGAAGCAAGGAGTATCTGCCAGGGGCAATTTTTGTCGAAGATTTCAAATCTGCCTTTACTTTTATTATTTGAGTGATGAAAATCCGAGAAAAATTGCTGTTCACATAAGGTGTTCCTGAAAAATACTGAAAACATTGATTTCCACTTTGAAACCGTGGCTTTAGAACGCATCATTATGAATTCAGGAGCATGATTTATTGCATTTGCAATGCAATTTTTTGTTGTAAATTTCAAATGTGCCTTTACTTTTACCATTTGAGTGATGAATATCCAAGAAAAATTGTTATTTCCATAAGGTGTTTTTGAAAAATACTAAAAATATAGATTTCCACCTCGCAAATGAATACATTTCTATAATTTAAACGTTCGACACTTCTTAAAATATTTGCAACAGTCCCTCTCTCTTTCTATCTGGCTTTATAAGCAACATTGTAAATATTCATTTTTGTTAATCTTAATACTGCAGTTTAATATAGGAACCAAAAAAATTGAATAAAATATAGAAGAAATGAGATTTTAAACAACATCTCTATTTGCCCTTCATGACCAAACAAAACTTTAACTCTCAACTACCTACTTCATCCACCACTACATCCAGCTAATTAGCTACATCCAGCTTAATTCATCAATATGAATTATTTTTATTTTAATTTTTGGAAAAATTAATTAGACTAAAATTTGTAATAAGTCTATATTTACTATATTAGTACTATTCATATTGACTTTCTACCCGTGAACTTTCATGATATTCTACTTGATATTCGAAATTTCTATAATTGTCGTGTTAAGAATTATTATAACATGATGATACCAACCAGAGTGAGTAGAAGGCACATTATTTAACCACAGTTCTAACTTCAGACAGTTCTAGGCTAGATTTAAGGCTACATGATAGTATTGAAAAATAATCAGCAGCTTGCATAGAGGAAGATTATATCATTGGAAAAGGTCTCATTAAATTTTAGATTAGGCTGAAGAATGCACAAACATTGGTGTGTTTTTAGAGGAAATTTTAGATTACCGACTTAGCGGACTTTAGAGGCCTTTACCATCAAGAAGGGGGATGAAAATTTAAAAACTATCATCAAATCCTTATAATATGGTACTCGTAGAACACATTTCCGGTCCTAAACATTCACAATTCCGGAATCGCCAATGTCCCACATTTTAACCATATCGCCACACCGTGCGGCAACAGGAGGTTACCTTCATAATCACAAAAAAATGATTGCACCGCTGTCACGTTAGCGTTAAGAAAACTATCAAACCATTTATGATACCCTATGGAGACTCTAATTCCTTTATCTCTATTTGTTATGCGTGTTGGATAGTGATGTCATGTCATCATGACGTCACTACCTATCGTCTCTCACCGATGGTCATCATCCATCAACGAGGCATTCGCCATCCTTGCTCCTGCTTGCTTGTGATCATGTTCTGTATTTGTGCCTGTTGAATATTTGCATTTTCTAATAAAATGCCTTAGTCTCAATCCAGTGTTATGTTCTTGCGTGCAACCACCCTTCAAACCTAAACTATGGCGACGAGGATTAAACAACGAAGGAAAACGGATTCGTGCCAAGCAGCAGGATAAACGGCGACACGGCGGCCCGACCACGCCAATTCGTGGCCTAAAATGGCATAGTGCAAAAAGTTTTTAATGTCGTGTTCGTAGCACCAATTCTTCTTTTAATCAACTTTTAGAATATCGATTAAGTTCGAAATGTTTTAATCAATTTTAACGCGTTCGGTCTTCGGACATTACCTATTCCTCGCTAATCGTGGATCTCATGGTGCTTATTTCGTGTCTTGTTCGTGACCCAATGTCGTGGACTTTTCTTTCCTCGCTAATCGTGGATCGTATAGAATTGCTTATTTCGATGTCTTGTTCGTGACCCAATGTCGTGGACTTTTCTTTCCTCGCTAATCGTGGATCTTATAGTGCTTTTTTCGATGTCTTGTTCGTGACCCAATGTCGTGGACTTTTCTTCTGATGTGTTAAATTCCTCTTCAGTTCCTCGCCAATCGCGGAACTCAAGAAACTTTCCTCGCTAATCGTGGAATTTCCATTGCTCCTTGCAATTCTTTAAGTACGTGTTTTTCTTTTCGTGATGGAGTTTCTCATAAAGCCAACACCTCTTGAAGTGAACGAGGACATCCTCAAAAACTGGGAAAAGTTCAAGAGGCAGTGGACCAACTACAGTGTGGGAGCTGAAATCAGTAAGAAAGGAGAAGCNTTTCGATGTCTTGTTCGTGACCCAATGTCGTGGACTTTTCTTCTGATGTGTTAAATTCCTCTTCAGTTCCTCGCCAATCGCGGAACTCAAGAAACTTTCCTCGCTAATCGTGGAATTTCCATTGCTCCCTGCAATTCTTTACGTGTTTTTCTCTTCGTGATGGAGTTTCTCATAAAACCATCACCTCTTGAAGTGAACGAGGACATCCTCAAAAACTGGGAAAAGTTCAAGAGGCAGTGGACCAACTACAGTGTGGGAGCTGAAATCAGTAAGAAAGGAGAAGCTGTTCAAAAAGCGATCTTTTTGAACCTCATCGGCACTGACGCAGAGGAGCTCATCAACTCTCTTGATCTGGCTGATGACAAAGCCGACACTGTAGCAAAGCTCACTTCGGCTCTTGATGATTATGTGAAACCCAAAACCAATGAAGTATTTTCGCGGTACCAGTTTTTTACGAGAGTTCAAAAAGAGGGAGAAGATTTCGAAACATTTCTTCTCGCTCTTAAAAAACTGTCCGAACATTGTAACTTTAAAGATCTGAAAATGTCTCTCATTCGGGACCGAATCATTATCGGTATTAACAATCAAATTCTACGCGAACGGTTGCTTGGTGAAGACTACGAGTTCGAGAAAGTTGTTAAATTGTGTCGTTCGATCGAAACCGGTAAACTCCGAGCCAACGAAATGGCCAGTGACGCATCCAAGACCACTTCTATTGATTCAGTCAACAATCGTAGAAGTCAGCAAAACGTCTCTGCAACAACGCCAACTCCAAGTGATCATCGACAACAGTCTCCAGTCAAGCAATTCAATTGCCGGAATTGTGGTTACAAGCACCCGATTCGCCAGTGTCCAGCGTACGGTCAAAAGTGCACCTTGTGTCAACGGCTAAATCATTTTCCCAACAAATGCCGGTCCAAACCTAAAAGTTCAAGTGGCTCTAAACCCACTCCTAAAACGGCAGATCAAGTTAACTTACAAACTCAGTGCGGTCATTGTTCATCTATTAGCGACCCGAGTCAGCTTGAAAATGATCAATCCAGATCGTGCGGTCGTTTGGAAAATATTAATGCTAGTGACTATCTGTATATTTCTGAAATCTCAATGATACAACCGTATCAGTCACCACTAGTCGATAACTTTTCTCTTCTCAGTGCGAAAGTGAATGAGTCGAACAGTTCGTCACAATCGGAAGTTAACGATCGTATCGGTCCTGCTACCCCTGATGATATCAACATCCATAGCGTAACGTCTCCTGATAAATGCTGGATGGAAAACATCATTGTCAATGGCCAAACTGTGAACTTCAAATTGGACACCGGAGCCGAGGTCAATATTCTGCCACGCTGCATTTTTGATCAACTCAAAAACTCTTCAACCGTCCTCCTACAAAGCAAAGCGATGGTTCTGGGCTATGGTGGTGCTCGTATCGATTCCTGTGGACATGCTGTTCTAGATTGTAAACTGCCAAATCAGAGTCTTGTCCGTAAGCTTTCATTTACAATTACTAATGTAGGGAAAACTCCCCTGTTAGGTTTAAATTCATGTGTTCAGTTAGGTCTAGTCACTAGAAATTTTGTGCATGATATTGAAAATTTCAAATCCAAAGAACAAGTTATTGCTAATAACCAAGATACATTCAAAGGTCTTGGTACATTCCCGGATAAATGCGCCATTAAAGTAGATCCTCAAGCGATTCCTGTTGTAGACCCTCCAAGACGTCTTCCAGTACGCCTACTGGAAAAACTAAAGCGCAAACTAACAGAATTAGTCATGTTTGATATTATTTCACCAGACACTGAAAATGTTGAATGGTTCAGCAATCTTGTTATTGTGGAGAAAAATGGTAAAATCAGAATATGTTTAGACCCCAAAAACTTGAACAAAGTAATCAAGCGTGAATTTTATTTGATTCCAACCTTAGAGGAGATCAAACCGAAATTAGTCAATAAGAAAATATTTTCTGTACTTGATATTAAAGACGGATTTTGGCACTGTCAGCTTACGCCTGAAGCATCCAATTTATGTGGCTTCCATACACCCTTTGGTAGTTTTAAATTTCTACGAATGCCCTTTGGCCTTGTCAACGCCCCAGAAGTATTCCAAAAACTTCTTACTAAATACTTTGGGGACATACCAAATGTAGTTATTTACTTTGATGATATTCTAATTTGTGGAGAAACTGAGAGAGAACACGATATTGCACTTGCGAAAGTACTGAGCAGAGCACGCAAGTACAACATCAAGTTCAATTGTAACAAATTTCAGTTCAAGCAAAAAGAAATACGGTATATGGGTCACATAATTAGTGCTGATGGTATACGTCCCGATAACGATTATATCCAAGCAATCTTAGATCTTAGAATCCCTAAAACACGTCGAGAACTGCAAAGTGTAATAGGAACTATAAATTACATCAGAGATTATGTTCCAAACATGGCTGATCTCATAGAACCATTCAGACCCCTTCTGAAAAAACAAACGAAATTTGTTTGGACAGAAAAACATACTGAGCATTTCGAAATTGTTAAAAAAGCTATCTGTGAAATTACAAGCTTGCAAAATTTTGACCCGTCCAAAGAAATTACGATCCAATGTGACGCTTCAAAATTTGGCCTGGGAGTTTGCCTACTTCAGGAAGGTCGCCCAATAGCTTTTGCGTCAAGATGCCTAACGGATGCTGAAACGAGATATGCGCAAATTGAGAAAGAAATGCTGAGTATTTTGTTTTCAGCTAAACGATTTCACAATATTGTGTACGGTTACAAAATTCTAGTCGAAAACAATCACAAACCATTACAAGCTATTTTCAAGAAAAGAATAACCAGAGTCATGTCCAACCGTCTTCAACGGATGCTACTTAAACTTACTCCTTATGATCTTGAAGTCAAATACTTGCCTGGTAGACAGATGTACGTAGCTGATATGTTATCTCGAAACTTCTCTAGTAAAATAGTCAGTAATGATGAAATCGATTTTGATGAAATTGTACATTGCCTGGAGGTGAATTTTGAACTGTCTAATAGTAAATATTTGGAACTTAGAGAAGCCACGATGCAAGACCCAATTCTAGCACAGGTAAAAAGAATGCACCTGGAAGATTGGGATCATTGCGATGATGTAATGTTAATGCCCTATTTCAAATTAAGACATGAAATAGCGATAAACGATGAATTGCTCTTTTTTCAGAACCGTCTCATCATTCCGGCTAAATTACAGGCTAATTATGTTGCTTTACTCCATGGTGACGCCCATCTAGGTATTAATAAAACTATCCAGAGAGCTAGGTCCATTTGTTATTGGCCGTCATATACTTCTGACATTGAGAAATTTGTAAAATCTTGCGCTACTTGTAATAAATTTCACCCTAGTCAAGTCAAAGAACCTCTAGTTCCACATGAGATTCCCACCACACCGTTTCATAAAATCGCAGCAGACATTGCGCAATTCCAAAGTAAACAATTTCTCATTGTCACAGATTATTACTCCAAGTGGCTCGAAATTAGGCCCATCCATAAAAAGACAGCGTCTGAAGTTATAAAAGTCTTTAAAGATATTTTCCGAGTGTTCGGTATACCTGCTCGTCTGATTGCCGACAATCAACCGTTTAATTCGCATGAAATGATAGAATTCTCTAAAGCATATAATTTTACTATTCAAACTTCTAGCCCGAGGTATCCTCAATCGAACGGAATGGCTGAGAACGCTGTAAAAAAGGCTAAGTTAATTCTCAAAAAAGTTCTTGAAAGTCATGGAGATCTGGATTTGGCAATTTTAGAGCATAATAATGCACCAATTACTAGTTTGAATAAATCACCAGCGCAGCTCATGATGAGTAGAACACTTAGAACAAAACTGCCAACAAGTGTTGCAAACCTCAAACCTCAACTTTGTGATGTGTCTGATAAAATTATTTCAACTCAAAATAAAACAAAGCAATATTATGATAAAAATGCCAAATCCAAACCTGACTTTGAAGAAAATGAAAAAGTCTGGTTGCAGGACACTAATAAGTGTTGGTATCCAGCTGTAATATTAAAGAAAGTCGAAAATGCACCTAGATCCTATCTCCTTGAAAATCATGAGGGAGTAACATTAAGGAGAAATTCTAGATTCATTAGAAAGAGATTTGGTCCGAGCGTGAAAGAAACAACTAATTCAGGTGCACTTCTCTTATTTTTTGATGATGAGCTAACCGAGAATAACTCATCATCAAACAAGGCAGAAGGTGCCCCTGAAAATGTAGTTGATACAGAGCTTCAAAATCAAGATTCACATTCTGGTAACTCTGAAAGTGCTCCTGAAAATGTATTTGAGTCAGAACCTCAGGATGAAGAATCTCTTTCTAATGACTCTGATAGTATTATTTCATTGGATAGGTCAACGCCTGAAAATAGTGAATTAGATTTAACAATAATTGAAAATTCCACAATTATAGATAACTCTCCTGCAATTCAGCCAATTTCCGCTCCAAGTGCTCAACCCTCAACACTTGTGAGTCCTACCATTATTAGGCTTAGGAACTTAGGTCGAGGCGTACCAAAAAAGCCTGACCCTAATTTTGTATCTAAATGAAATGTTTAAACGTGTTATACTAAGGTGACTCGCATTCTTTGAGTCTTAAATGGATGTTCAACTAAGTCCTACTTTGTTTTTCTTACTCTCGCACTTACATGCACCGATCTCCAGATAAACTGGTAATTGATATGTTTCAATATTTTAAATCACTGTTTTTTATTATTGATTGTTAGCAATGCCCTAATGGTATCTATAAGCCTGAACACCCCAATGGTGTCTCTTCACTTGATATGTTTCAATATTTTAAATCACTGTTTTTATTATCGATTGTTAGCAATGCCCTAATGGTATCTATAAGCCTGAACACCCCAATGGTGTCTCTTCAATTGTTATGTTTCAATATTTTTGATCACTGTTTTTTATAATTGATTATTAGCGATGCCCCAATGGTGTCTCTTCAAAATTAGTAAAAGGAAACCCCAATGGTTTCATGTCAATTGTTATGATGCCCCAATGGTATCTATAAGCCTGAACACCCCAATGGTGTCTCTTCAATTTAGCAAAGGAAACCCCAATGGTTTCAGAGCAATTTTTAATTACGAAGCCCCAATGGTTTCACATCATTTTAATTACGAAGCCCCAATGGTTTCACATTATTTGTATTACGAAGCCCCAATGGTTTCACATGAATTTTAAGTACGAAGCCCCAATGGGTTCACATCAAATTGTATCTACGGAACCCCAATGGTTTCAAATAAGTTTTAAGTTTCAACTAAGATACCCTAATGGTTTCAAAAAAAAAGTGTAAAGGGGGAGGTGTTGGATAGTGATGTCATGTCATCATGACGTCACTACCTATCGTCTCTCACCGATGGTCATCATCCATCAACGAGGCATTCGCCATCCTTGCTCCTGCTTGCTTGTGATCATGTTCTGTATTTGTGCCTGTTGAATATTTGCATTTTCTAATAAAATGCCTTAGTCTCAATCCAGTGTTATGTTCTTGCGTGCAACCACCCTTCAAACCTAAACTAATGCGACTTTTCACAGAGGAAAAAGAGACTTGCATCCTTATCCTTACGAATAATCTTGGCCTTCCTGACCCTCCTAATCGTAATGCTGCCAAATCCTTTTAAGCCAAGGAATGTCCCAGCCCACCCGATCTTTTTACAACGAGTAGCAAAACGCTCTTCATTATTTTACATACTCAAGACAGTTAGCTTTTTGTTTCACCTTTGGCAATAGGTGACAGACAATAATCCTGACTACTTGAAGGCGAGGGTAGTTGTAAAAAGTTTGCGAGTGGTCAACGATTCCTCCAGAAGGGCAGTTTGACACATGCAAACATGAAGCCGATCAATCACTAAAAAAGAGGATGAATATCAAGAATTGCCATTAACTTCTCAAAATGTCAAAAAGAAAGTGAACTTGAAAAAGAAAATCAAAAGCCTGTAAATTCTTGAAGTGTTTGTGATCTTTTCTTGTCCGAATAAACCTAAATATTTTTGCTAAATGTGTTATACCTCCGTAGCATACCCTTTATTAACCTGGTGTACAAAATGGATTTTGATGTGCCTCACTTTCTTTATCCGTCGTTTTACTTATTAAAGGAACAAAAAGTCCACTTTGGGTTTCCGCGGACCGATGTTGCGTCATGGCGTCAGGTAAGTAAGCGTGTGTGCGCTGCGTGCGAGCGGCCGGCACTGCGCGCGCGGCGCAGCAAATATGTATCAGAGGCTATTTATGCCTCTAAAATGCACGATACGGCAAAATGGACGACATCTTCGTTCAAAGGGCCGTAATTCTAAATTTCTACCTTAGAACGACACCTTAAAAATGCAGTAATTCAAACTTTGCATTTAGGCCTTTTTCGCCCTGTGAGAGGTGGGTTAAAATTGAAATTTTGGAATTTTTCAAAAAGTATGTTTATTTTCACACCAGAGAGAAACTTTTTAGAGGTAGCACTTTTCGAATTTCGAAAATCCCAAAAGTAAGACACACCCTAGACTGCGCCCCCTGGACCCCTTATCACCCGCCATGCAAGTGACATTTGGCTCCCTCAGCCATTTTTCTGAGTGATTGAACATTTGATCACTATGATTCATACATTTTGGAGAATCTGGAGACAAAAATGATTTGTCTCATGGCGTTGGTTGTCTCCCGCTACATAGTTGCTCTATTGAAGAAATTCTGACAAGCAAATGTGAATTTTTGAACAACTTAGAGCGCGCCAATATCATTAAGAACGCTGTCCCTGTGCCCAATGTATGTCCAACGGACGATACTGGGAGGTATCAGCATGGATTATCAGAACTTGTGTAGCTTTCTTTTCTTTATATGATTTTTTTCTATTTATTGTACCTAATTGAAGAATAAAGAAAAATAAAATAAAATTTTTTGTTTCATCAAACTTAACATTGCAATAACCAAACCCAGTTGCTTATCCCAAAACATAAGGTTCCGATACACATCTCTAAGCGCTGTGATACACACCGCCCCGTCACTAAAATTAAAATTCCCGAATCAGACCCACCAGTCTGATACCAGTCCCATCCCGGAGAAGATTATCTATTGTTGCGGAAATTTCACAAGTCCGAAATCAATCTGACAACAATGTAAGGAAAAATTATTTAATTTCTTGCACCGTCCGGCAACACTGTAATATTCGATGCTGCCAAGTTTCACAGATAATGAAATCATTTATTTATGTGCGCCGTCCGGCAACGTTGTTGCATAACCTATAGGTTGAAGAGGGAACATACGCCACTGCATAACCCGCAGATTGAAGGGACAACATACACCATTGCATAACCCGCAGATTGAAGGGGCCACATACACCATTGCATAACCCGTAGATTGAAGGGGCTACATTCACCATTGAATAATTTGCAGAGTGAAAGGGCAACATACACCATTGCATAACCCGCAGATTGAAGGGGCAACATACATCATTGCATAACCCGCAGATTGAAGGGGCTACGTACACATTTGAATTATATAACCCCGAAAATGAAGGGGTATCTAGCGTTTTTCTTACTGTGCTAAAGTCCTCATTTTCACTCTACTGGCGTTGCTTAACTTGGGTGACCGTCCAAGAGACAGGGCCACTACTCCATCCGCGCTTGCGATCAGATTGTTAATATTGATATCTCGTTTTTGTTGGGTACCTACTGCTGCCGTTGCAGAAATATAGAAGATACCGTTGATTCGATAAATCGACGGCACCAACAACGGAAGAAGGCTGGACGTACTTGGCTGGATGTGATAAAATGAGTAATACATTTTTTTATTATTACGGTGACGGTTTTTTTTGAAAAGTGGCAACCCTGTAGCTACTTGAATTCCTACGAATATTAGGCAATGTTGTGAACGCAATGTCGAAGATGGCATAGAGAAAAACAAGGAGATGATGCATCTTGAGGATTGTTTACCCCGTGATGTAGGTCGGTACAGCATGGCCAGCAAAATCTGGAATTCGAAGCATGAAAAACGGAGCATAACGTCCGATTGTTTTGCTTAAATCAACTCTTGATATAATTTCAAACACATTTGAAAAGTAAAAGGCCTTTTATATAAACTACACTTTTTCTATTAGAGAAAATCTAGTAGTAATTTTTTTCATGAATTAGTGATGAACAGAGTCCCAAATAAAAATGTAAACAAAGGGGTAACATAACCTCCTTTTCGGGACTTGCTTCGATTCATTGAGTATAATTAATCTATCTGATGCGATATGGAGGATTCACCAGACAGAAACGTACATTTGAGGATGCAAAGAACTCATTATCGCGAGAAAATCCGGCAGGTACAGACTGAAACTACCCGGAATCAGCGTTTGAAAATTGACTTTCCGTTCCTTACGGGAAATCCTATGTGCATCGAACCGACCGAATCCCCGTTAGGGTACAAGGCCTGAAATCGCGACACATCGCGAAATGTGACCTCATCACTAAAACGGTCTATTTCTTCTGTATAGGTCGATAGAACGTAATTTTCTGCGTTTTTGGTTTAAATACTAGCTCTGTAACTGCTTTTCTGCGAAAGTTATGCATATTTTAATGCTAATATGTCTTTAAAAAATAGCAACGTCGATCAGGGGCGGATTCAAGGGGGGGAGGGCGATGGCGGGATCGCCCTCCCCCCTGTGGCGAGGAAAAGCGAGAGCTCGTACGATCCTGATCGTCAGAAAGCAAGCCTTCCGGAAAGGATCGAGATTCAGCAGATCAAGCCACAAATTTTGGGTGCCAGATGCTCGTCGGGACGCCTGGGTTCGGGCGCCAACACACTCGAAGTGCGTAATCAAAAATAAAATTTTCCTGAGGTGAGGACAGGTGTTGCAGGAAGGAATAATGAGAGCAAATTTGAACGTACTAGAGTCAATTTTTATTGACAAGAAAAGAAACTACTTTTTGAACACAATTACAAACTAAAAAAAATTCTCAAGACAAAACAAATAAAACTAAATACGAGATCAAAATTAGGACGATTGAAGGTGAATGTTGTTGATCGGATTGGCTTTTTTAAAATAGGTACTTTGAAAGGAACGGAAAAGGGACAAAAAGGTTTTCGAACTTTAGAATGAATTACTCTTCGATTATTTATTTTACCCTCAATCTCCCAAACAACCGGTGCTACTCACCACGTGCACTCAATCTTGAATGGTAGATTTAGGATACGAAATAAATATTTTCCAAAATAAATTCCAATAACAACCAAAATCCCAGGTGCTACTCAACACGTGCACACTTGGAAATTGATCAATTATGAGAGATTTATTTTTCATGATTAAATTAAATTAAATATAATTAAATTAGATGTGCTTCCGAATAAGAATAAGATTTGTTTAGATAAATTTCAACAAGAGATTACTAGTAAAAAAAAACCATGCCCATGCATTTATTTACCATAGGAGCTACCCATAAATGGGTGCGTCACACAAGAGAGTAAATGCGATGAGAAAGGTAAGCCCTCACTTGCAAGCGTGCAACTCATCACGTGCACAGCTACGCAAATGAAGTGATCCGAAAAATCGGACAAGCGCTGCGAGGTACCGGTCG